GATATTATTCTAAAAATAGAAATAAAAACAGCTATTTTCTCAAGTTCAACATATGTTTAGAATATCTTTTATGTTATTTGTACTGTTTTAAAGACGATTAATTGTTAAAGTTTACGTTTGAAAATATTAAAAGTCGGTGTCCATGCAATAGGTCCCAAATTATTATCAAAAAGTAGAGAATAAAGCGTCACTTTACTCTCTGTTGGGGGGAAAAAATCAAAGACCCCTTCCACCCGGAATTTTTTAAAATTGAGTCAATTTCGGGGTTGAAAAGGCTAAAGCAGGACGTTAATCGCTATTTGAGGACTTTATTCCGGATTCTCAGTCATCGCAAATTGCATGTCGTTGTGCATTTGACAGACGTTGGCACATTGTTGAGTGAGAGAGTGCACGCTGCCACCACCCGATGCTTTCGAGTAGAGCTATCGCTCCATTGCAGATGTCTCTGCAGGTGTCGTGGGTGCGGCACCGCGACGTCCATCTCCTGACGGTCGGGAGGTACACCTACACCAGCGACCAGAGATTCAGAGCCATTCATCAGCCCCATTCCGAAGACTGGACACTTCAAATCAAGTATCCACAACACCGGGACTCCGGTGTCTATGAGTGTCAGGTGTCTTCCACGCCGCATCTCAGCCACTTTATACACCTCACGGTCATAGGTGGGTATGGATTATAACACTTTGACCTTGACATTGACCTACCATAAAAAAGAATTTGGGAAAAATATCTAAAATAGCAGTTTTCGCTTCCTGAAAAATACACAACATTTTTGGTGCAATTTAACAAAATTGGAACTTAAACCAATTACATCTCAAAATTTTTAGATCTTCTGTTTTAATGTAAAAGCAGTTTAGTACAGCCATATACAGGGTGTTAAAAAAGATTGTAAAATATTTAAGGAGATTTTAGTATGGATCAAAAAAAACAAAAAAAGTTTTGATAAACAGATATCAAATCAAATGTGACAATTTTTAAAATTTTTACTAGAAACTTCTTTTTTTATTAGAACAAATTGCAAATAAATTTTTCCAAAAAAAAACAAAACTGTTACTTTGCGGACCCATTTTTATTAAGACTTTTTTGCTTGTTTTGGTTTTGTCAACACCTTGTATAATATTTTTAAAATTACAGTTCCTACATTATAATGTTTTATGTCGAGTTTTAAGTAAAATTACTTAAAAGCAGCTTTTTGCAACTTTTAAAATCTCATAACTTTATATAGAACTGATAATTGTATATTTTAATAAAATGTAATATAATAATACAGTGTAATTTTACACTGTTTATTTTAAAAATGTACAAGACGTGTATTAAGAGTAAATAAAATAAAATTATAATTACATAAATTTACACTATTAGTACTTAAACTTGCATTAAACAAGTGTACTTTCACATTATGCAAAGTAGAAAAAGTCATAACTGACATTAAAAGTTTTATCAATAATTCCTACAAATACAAAAAGACATC